CCAGCTCCAAGACTTACCAGACAGGGCCTCAGCCCAGAGATGTTCAACCCCAGCACAATGAAGGCTACACCTTCAACTACTTGGAGGTGACAGACAGCTACATATCCTACGAAGAGTTAAACTCACCAAACAAATAAAGGGCTCCTTGACTAAAACAGTGATGCTCTCATACCTTGAAGAAATAGACATGGAGAGGTGGGAGAGGGGGGACAGGCTTATAATGAAACTGGTGCCCGCTGCTTGGCTAAGGAGCCTCATTCATGGATCCTCCACAGCTCAAGTCACCAGAGAAATGCCGTGTGAGGAAGGAAAGCATCTCGTGGCCCAGAGGAAGCACCACTCAAAACCACACCCGCCTGGTTCTACGACTTCTCCTTTATCAAAGAATCTTTTGATGATTAATTGGAGGTCAAGGTAATAGTAACAGTGATAACATTTTCTTGACCTATAAGATCACAACACAGAATGGCTGCTCTGGAGAAGGAGCACATTCCACAAATCTAGTCCTCAAGGATCATAGGAAACAAAGTACCAGACTGGTGGAGACAGAAGTTATTTACACCTTCACTTGCTTGATTTTTTGCTATTTCCACAAAGAGGAAGAAACCTGAGGTAGCCACAGCTTCTTCCAGGAATATCCACATACCATTAAAACCAGTATGGAAATTTATTCTAGGAAGATGTAAAATACAGGGTGTCCCAAATTGTACAAAGAGGTGGCCAACATGTACAGAATATTATGTAAAATTCTGAAATGAATATTCTGTAAATAAAGGCACATTTAGCTACACTTCTCATTTTCCCTTCGTATAGCTCTGACAATTAGGTTTGTGAACTTGCCACCACATGCTTTCATTGGCAGCACTGTACAAACAGCTAAGTTAGGTTTCATAATCTTGGTGTATCAGCATCTTGGAATTGTGTTTGTGTCAACATGTGGTGGTATCTTGCTGAGTGGCATCAATTATTGTTGCATGTTTTTGTAACAATTATGAGAATGTTGGAGCTTGAATTAGACCAACAAAAACCATTAAATTTCTTTTTCTTTTTTTTTTTTTTTTTTTTGAGACAAGAGTCTCATTATGTCACCCTCAGTAGAGCACCATGGAGTCATAGCTCACAGCAACCTCAAACTCTTGGGCTCAAGTGATTCTCTTGCCTCAGTCTCCCAAGTAGCTGGGACTACAGGACCACCACAACACCATTTTTTTGTTGTAGTTGTCATTGCTTTTAGCAGGCCTAGGCGGGGTTCGAACACACCAGTCCCAGTGTATGTGGCCAGTGCCCTAACCACTGAAAACGGGTGCCGAGCCTAAATTTTTTGTTAAACTTGGCAAGAGTGAAAGTGAAATCAGGGACATGTCAGTCCAAGTTTATGGAGATGATGATGAAAACAGCAGTGTACAAATGGATTGAATGTTTTTCTGAGGGGAAAGAAAGCATTACCAATGAAGAGAGGTCAGCCAGTAAGGAACAGAACTGATGAAAATTAACAAAAATTTGTCACCTTGTGTGTCAAAATCACCAGCTGTGAGAAGCACAGCAGACCAATATCAATAGAGAGAAACAAGAAAATCTTAACTGAAAATCCTGGCATGAGAAAGATGCATGAGCTTGGTGCCTGTAGCTCAGCGGTTAGGGCACCGGCCACATATACTGGGGCTGGTAGGTTTAAACTCGGCCCGGGCCTGCTAAACAATGACAACTACAACAACAACAACAAAATAACTGGCATTGTGGTGGGTGCCTATAGTCCCAGCTACTTGGGAGGTGAGGCAAGAGAATCACTTAAGCCCAAGAGTTTGAGGTTGCTGTGAGCTGTCACACCATAGCATTCTACCTAGAGTGACAAAATGAGACTCTGTCTCCAAAAAAAAAAAAAAGACGTGTGCAAAAATGGTCCCAAAGGAGCCCGCATCTCACTGGAAGGTTAGAGTTTTTAGCCAGTAAACAAATAATTGTTTGGAACACCCTCCTTACTCACCTGATCTGGCCCCAATGACTTTTTTCTTTACCTGAAGTTTTTTGGGTTTTTTTGAGACAGACTCTCAAGCTGTCGCCCTGGGTAAAGTGCCATGGCATCACAACTCACAGCAACCTCCAACTCTTGGGCTTAAGTGAGTCTCTTGCCACAGCCTCCCAAGTAGCTGGGACTATAGGCAACCCACCACAACGCCCCACTATTTTTCTGTTGCAGTTGTCATTGTTGCTTTAGCTGGCCCAGGCCAGGTTTGAACCTGCCAGCCTCGGTGTATGTGGCTGGTGCCCTAGCCACTGAGCTACAGGCACTGCCATAAAGAAAGTATTGAAAGGAAGATATTGTGATAACATTCAGGAGATCAATGTTAACATGATGACATTGCTGACAGCCATTCCAGAAAGAGTTCCAAAATTGCTTTGAAGGGTGGACTAGGGCCTAGCATTAATGAATAGCTTCCCAAGGGGAGTGCTTCAAAGGTGACCATAGCAATATTCAGCAATGAGGTATGGAACACTTTTTCTACGATGAGTTTGAGAACTTAACTGTCAGACCTCTTATGGCAACTTCTGGGGCAACTTCGGGGACACTCTTTAGACTCTATTTACTGTAGTAAATGACATTTGTTCAAACCCTTCACCAATCTTGATAAGGAAACCTAGATCTAGCTTTTCTCTTTGTTGGCAGTGCAAGTGAAATAAAAACGGTTTGCACAAGATTTCACCTAAACATAACACGCACTCCAATTTCTTCTACGCTGCTCTCTCTCCCTGTACCCTTGGCCCCAATCCAATCCTTACATATTAGCGTAGCAATATTCTCTTGCTGAAAACAGGATATTACTTTTTCACTTAAAAAGCCTTCAAATGTAACGATGAAGGAAGCTCATATCTACTGAACATTAGTATTCGTCAGGCACTTTTCACAGCACTTAGGTAAATCAATCTGCTCAATCCAGACAATAACCTAATGAAGTACCTATTATCCACATTTTACAAACAGGAAAGAGAAGGATGGAATGGTTAAATAACTGGCATAAGATCGCATGGAAAGTAGAAAAAGCAAGGATTTGAAACCTGGCAGTCTGACTCTAAAGCCCCACGCCTACCTATTATGTCCCTGGGGTGTTTTATGCTTCTACTCAAGGAAAGGTCCACCATAATTAACACCATTATGCTGAAAACTTACCACATGACACGAACTTTAAACATACACCCTCATGCTGCTGTCCAGCATGTAAGTCTCCTGGCCAGGGAGGCAGAGAACCCAACAGTGACCTGTCAGGGCCCAGATCCACCTCACTGTACAGGCCCAGGCCCTGCTCTTCCCCAGATATTGTCCCCTCCCATCCCATCCCTTTGCCCCCACCTATGGGAGGGCAAACAAGGTTCTGCACACATCACAAAGCTAAGAAGTACAGACCCTATATCTGGCACCGACTGCCCACAATCACCAAGGGATGTGAGCTCATAGAGCATGACCTGGGTAGTGAGTGGCTCACTCAACAACTACAGAAGGAAGCTAAGAAACCTGGACAGATTTGAAGCAGCCAAAGGTCCCAGGACCCATTTGGCATCAGCCACTGGCGGGGAAGAGAACTACTCACAGATAACAGTTAAGGAAACAAATACTGACTGCATGCCTACTACGAACCACAAACCATTAAGTGCTGGTTCTGAATTAAGAGGCGGTGGTGGCAGTTGTAGTGGATATGTGTGTCAAGGGTGGGGATGGAGGTGAGGGACACATTTCAGAGAGCAAGAGAAAAATCTCTCTTCTGGCCACAAGCCCACAGAAGGCATTAATAAACGTGTGCTGAGTGAATGTCTGAAAAACAATACCTAACACCTCTACACTCTGGCTGTTTACAATGACATTTAAACTTATTTCATGTGACCTGGAAAACTATGAGCAAGTTCTCCATACAGTAGAACTCAGCTCATAAAAGCTAGAAAGTACGAATAATATTTAAGTATTTAGAAGTCTGAGGCATATAACTGCAAACCACCGCCACAGTTCCAGAGTTGTCTTCTCAGGGAGGTGAGGAGCTCTCAGGAAATGGCCAACGTCCAGCCGGTCTCCCTGGTTTTTCTCCGGAGGCCAACTTAGCCAGTAATTAAATAAGGACGCTCAGCCCCGCTATTCAGCTCTCGGCTCTGTGAGACCTCAGGTAAGTCACACTCCCTTTTCCAGCCTCGGTTCTGTCTGTAAGATGGGTTATGCATACAAAAACGCTTAGAAGACTTAAGATCCTTGGCCAGGCGCGGTGGCTCACGCCTGTAAATCTAGCACTGTGGGAGGCCGAGGCAGGTGGACTGCTTGACCTCACGAGTTCGAGACCAGCCTGAGCAAAAAGCGAAGCCCTGCCTCTACTAAAAATAGAAAAACTGAGGCAAAAGGATCTCTTGCGTCCAAGAATTGGAGGTTGCTGTGAGCTATGACGGATCAGCACTCTACCGAGAGCGAAATCTTGAGACTCTGTCTCAAAAAAAAAAAAAAATCCCTCACAAAGGGAGGTGTTAGAGAGGCGTCTTGAAGAGTTGAACTGGCAGGGTGTGGGTCTGAGTCGCAGTTCTGACCGTGTCTGCTGAAGCCACTGCCCTGCTAACTTCAGTTGCCTTAACTCTTAAAACGGAAGGAGAGACGAAGCAGAGCAGGAATCACAGAGAACGAGGTCCAAATGCCACTCTGGCCAGGGGAGGAGGCTGTGCCGCCCAGACTCCCTGACTCCCGGCCCGCGGGCCGCACGGGCAGCCTCCTTCCCCATCAACCCGGGCACCCGGGGCCCTGCCACGGCTCTACCGGCCTCCTCCGGCCCGCCGGAGGGACGACGCCTCCAGCCAGTGGGCGGGCGGGCAGGCAGCTAGGCCTGTGGAGGCGGCGGCCCGGCCAATGAGCAGCGCGACGGCGGGAGGGGGCGGGAACAGACGGCCCTCCCCGTCGTTGCCAGCCGCTCCCTCATCCGTCCCGAGCCCCGCTTGGCTGCAGACCTTGAACCCCCCCAAAATAAAAGGCCGCTCACCGTCCCTTCGCCGCAGCCCCGCGCTTCCTGATGAGCTCGTCCAGGGAGATGTCCGCCATCTTGCGCCGCCGAGCCAGCGGAAAGCAGCTTAGACTTCCCGAACCCACAAGCCCGCCCCTTTGGCCGCTACGAAGCGTCTAGCTGCTTCCGGCGATCAGCCGACCAACTCTCGCGACAACTCAAAAAAAAAAAAAATCCAATCAAGAACCGGAAGAGGCGGGGGCGCTCCCCGTGAGCCTTCGCGATGCCGGCTGCTTATCTGCATACAGTGGGGGTCCGAGCGCTATTGACACTTTATTCTTCCAAGACGAGCAAATAAAATAAAAAGTGACAAATAGTTTGATTAATGAGTAAAACAAACTTCAAAATACCTGGGGTATTAGTTGGATAGGCAGTTATCTTACTCGCCGTAAGGCAAATAAGAATAGCATTTGCTACCAAGGAAGTCAGCCTATTATCTCTTTATGCCTTAAACTTATGAGTAAGGAAAATAACGATTCGGGGTGACGCCCGAATCCTCACTGCTTATGTGAGACGAATTTTTGAGCGGGTAAAGGTCGCCCCAAAGGTGACCCGCCTACTTTGCGGGATGCCTAGGTGTCGCGATCTGCCCGACCCCCCTATTAATTGCAAAAGTAGATGTAACAGACGTTTCTCACCGGTTTTCTCCTAATTTTTTAACTTAAACTTGAATACGTAGAGAATGTCGCCTTAGTGGCTTTTTTCAGTTCTTCGTTTGGTTGTGGACTGGTAGGAACTTTACTTTTAAAACTTTCAGCTTTTCCCGAATTCCCGGCTGAGACTCTCTTGGCCAGGTGGGTACCGTCGCTAGCAGTGAGAAGGGAGGTCGGACGTGCCTCATCATGTCCCACCCTTATTAGAGGCATCCTTTGTTACTCAAGAGCAGGACTAAGACTACGCAAGACAAACCCGCAATTTACTTCACAGATCACTTCAGCTATCACTGGCTACGTGTCTGGGGTCTTGTCTCTGATTAACTATTTCATCTTTAAAGCATTCCAGGCCTTTAAACAAAGTTTCATTTCTTTAATCAATTATAAATCAAAGAGTCGTTAAATAACCTATAATCTGTGGCTCGGCACCTATAGCTCAACTGGCTAAGGCGCCAGCCACGTACACCTAAGGTGGCGGGTTCGAATCCCTAG